GCCCAGGCATCAGGAGATGATCAAGAACAAGCCCGTGATGGCACCAAGGCCACGTGCACCAGAGCATTGCAAATAAACAGTTCAAACATTTTATATACATAGTCATCAAGATCTTGATTGATTCTAATCAAAAAGTTTCAATATTCAAATAGTGACAATATTATTAATCTACTAACTTTTAAATCCTAAAAACAAAGTTCTCAAAATATATATTTAAACTTATTCTCTATTTGAAATGTTACAATATAAAGTATCCGTGGAGCAATCTAGAGACGCATACCTTTCACTGGTGTGCCAGCACCTAGCTGCTGAAGAGCAGCTTTAGAACGTTTAGAAAATGCACAGTCCCATACTGAAGTCTTAATTCCCATCAGCCGATTCTTACGGCTTTCTATACAATTTTTTTTTCAAAGAAAGGTATTGCATCTTTATTGCACAGGTAGGTACAGCAGTTTTAAAGGGACAAAATTCAAGTCAAGACAGTTATCAAGTCTAATCGATACAATTACCAAAGCACGACAGAGGGTTAACAAGAAGCGCAACCATCAGAACCACAGCAGCAGTCGGCCAGCACTATACTATCGTGAGCATACCACCATCTAGAGCCAGCCTTCGGTGGAGAGCCTGCACGGGAGTGGCTGAGGACGGCCGCTGTCCCTGCACCGAAGCGCTTGGACAGTAGAGGAGAAGTCTTAGTCACTTACCCTCAGAGGCTACCCTTTGATTGAAAGAGTACAGAAAAGAAAAGTCAAAATAGGTTCTCTATTAGACATAGCATAGCACCAGACAATTCAGGCAGCAAAAATATGACCCTTATAGACTTAACTCCATGAAAAAAATTCACAAAGCACCCAGCACTGAACTGTTACTTCAAACTTCATCTCTAATATATGCATTAAAATCAGTCCCTAGAATTGTAGCAAATTTACAACCCCTTCTCCCACAGGGTTCTCTTTAGCAGAGGGGATAGAGGACTAAGTCTGTGCTGGCACCCATGGGAAAGACCCCGGGGCACCCAGTGAACAGCCCCCACGGGAAGCCTACTGACTACTCCCCAGGGTCAGGGGGGTTGAGGGCCACCTTACCGTTACACCAGTGCCCGATATTTGGGAGGCTGGTGAGAATTTACATGGCAGGAACACTGGGCACTCAGACAATTCCAGCCCACAACCAAGTCATGGGACTGACTACCCACTGCCCAAGTGCCTCAATCAACATATTCCTGCACTGCCCTGGCTGGTCTCATAAAACAAGGAAGATCAACTCACCATGAGGTCTGGACCAGGTGTTGATTACGCTCACACTCTAACACCTGAAGGTACATAACGATTATCTGGAAGATATGGGTCAGGCAGTTATTACCAAGAACCTTGGGAACCCAGAACTCAGATCTTGAGGGCATCCATGCAGCAAATAAGTTTCATGCTAGATCCCAGGGTGGCTCCTGGTCACATGCCTAATGCACAGCTCAGATGGAGGGGTCTGTGCTGATGTGCCTGCTCCCTGCGTTTGTAGCCAGGCAGCCAGGAAGCACGAGGCCCAAGCGGCACCCACAGGGAAGGCCTTATTTTTCACACGTTTTCACCAGTGATATCAGCCTGCCCTAAACAGCTCTGTATCTGATCACCAACTTACACAAAATACGGAGTGAAAACACTTCCAGCAAATGAAGAAAAACTTTAAATCTACGGTAATTAACTGAGATACTGAATTAATGCCAGAGAGTCAAATAAACAAGAGAAGATAGGAGGAAACCCACCAGTGAAAGGGATGAAAGCAAAGATACAAGAGCAATCTTTCTTAAAACAGGCTCTGCACCTGGCCAGGTGGCTCAGTTGGCTGGAGCACCATCTCAATGTGCCAAGGTTGTGGGTTCGATCCCAGTCAGGGCACATATAAGCAGCAACCAATGAATGCATACATAAGTAGAGTAACAAATCAATGTTTCTCCCCCTCCCCCTAAAATCAATACATAAAAATAAACAAGACAGCTTTGTGTTCGAGTGGAACAAAAGAACACTGGGTAACATACCATAGCCATGCTCAACTAACACTCCCTGCAAAACTGCTTAGTTGTAAGAGGACATGAAGCCGTTACTAAAACAACCTTAGAAAATTAGCTGTTGAACCCTGGTTGGATGGCTCAGTTGGTTGGAGCGTTGTCCTGTGCACGAAAAGGCTGCAGGTTTTATTCCTGGTCAGGGTACATACTTAGGTTGAGGGTTCGCTCTCCCGTTGGGACACGTGCAGGAAACAACCAATGTTACTCTCTCTGCCTTCTCTCCAATTAAAAAAAAAACAAAAGCAAAACCATATCAAGTGAGGATTAATTAAAAAGAAAATTAGCTGTTGAGAAAGAAAAATGTAAACTGACAAATTCCATTTTTACAAGTTCATTACTATTTTTGAAAGCTGAAACTTACAAGATACCACTTCCAAAACTCTTAAAAATGCAATACTTAAGTTCACAGACATCACAAGAAGGCTCACAGTTGAAGAGTATTTTCAGGATGTTGACATACACTGAAAAACCAAGCCAGGGACACATTCAATCCCCTCCAGAGTTTTCAACTTCAGTGAGAATGGAGCAGTGGCTCAAGTGGGCTCTCGGGCAACAGGGCCTCATACCCACCTTGTGAGGGTGCTTCACATGGACGCAGAAACCCAGCTCTTTGAGAACCCGTCTTTCTGCCTTTATAATCTGGTTCTTTAAATTAACATAATCTTGATCCAACAGTAGAGGCACAGGTTTCCTACAATGACAGTACAGCACAGCAGATCAAATAAAACAGACTCTTTCAAATCCCAACCACCCCCAGCAGTGAGAATCTACTGTGAACACCACAGAATAGACATGACAAGTTCAAATCCCGACCACCCCCAGCGGGGAAATCTACTGTGAACACCACAGAATAGACATGACAAGTTCAAATCCCGACCACCCCCAGCAGGGAAATCTACTGCGAACACTACAGAACAGACACGTTCACTTTGTTTCCTTCGACCACAGTCTTCATGCGATCCCAGTGCCAACCTCCTCCTCCCTCCTCAATAGCCTCCCGCCTTCTGTACACAGAAGCAGCCTTACAGACGTGATCCAGCACAGGGCAGGGGCTCAGACCTCACTACACTAGTACTAAATGCACTCTGGATGAACGTAAAAGGGTGTGTGTTCAGAATGAATTAAAATCCAAAGAACCAAGGAAACAATCTTTAAACAACCCAGGCTGTTTTCTGAAGGACTTCTATCAGCTTTAGAAGCATAAAGTCGGGTAAGGTCTGGGCAGTAGTTCCCAACCAGGGCGATTGTGCTGTCCCAGGGCCACATGGCCATATCTGGGCATATTTTTAGCCCTCACGACAAAAGCAGCAGTATTTACATCCAGTGCACAGCAGCCAGGAATGCTGCTGGACACGTGACAACTGGAAGGACAGTCCCCACCACAGAGAACCCACCACCCCAAACGTCAACAGTGCCAAGGTGGCGAACCCAGTTTGAGAGCTTTCAGAGACCAACATGGGAAAACCAGGAATCCAACGCCAGCAAACCAGCCACTGGGCCCTGTCCTCCTTACCGTGGGCCCTGCACATATTCATCAGGCTTTCTTCTGGACACACGTTCAAAAATCTCACCGCCTGCGTTTTGCTTCAGAAACACTGGTGTCACTTAATAACCCCCCCAAAACGAGACAGGTGTTTATGACAGGTGTGACCCAGACTCACTTTTTCTCTCTCAGCTGCCGAAGGCGATGAAACACGTTCATGACATCCCGGATCCGCCTCGGAGCCTCTTCTATTTTGGAGGCCAGGTGCACGCAGGCCATTGACACATGCTGAAATGTAAGCATTGCAACACACAGATGTTTGTCCCCGTGCCGATGGCCTCCAACGCTCAAGAGTGATAAAGAGCAAAGAGCAGGCGCACCAGGAGGAAGAGGCCACCCGGGGTCAGGACCGGGGGGCTTCCCAACCCCCGAGCGCGGCTCGGACTGGCAAAAGGGCAGGCTCGCTTCGGTGGGCAACCCGGCGGGACGACCAGCCCAGCCCTCCCCCCAACACTTTCCCGTGGGTGAGAAACCCAGGCGGAACCCCTCACCTCCATGGAATGCTTCACAAAGGACTTGGTGTAAAAGAACCGCTGGAACAACACCTGCCCGGTAGCCATAGCCACCTAGAAAAGACAAAGGTTGCCATCGTCTTAACGCGCACAGCCGCAGGTGTCGCGGGGCTCCTGACACTGTCAAAAAAGACACATTTGACACGTCCACCGGGTCTTCGCGCCCGCTGCCTCGCCTCACTCACCACCTGCGGCGAACCAGACGCAGCGAGCGCGGGCGGCACAGGGACCGGGGTCAGGCGCCGGCGCGGGCGGCCCCACCACCAACAAAGGGCCCGGCCGCCTCCCCCGCGCTGGGCGGCGGTTGCCGAGGCCCGAGGCTCGCGGCTGCGCCCTCACCTGCGGCAGGCGGAGCAGGATGCCGGCCGCCTGGATGAGCTCGCAGCCCACCACGCGGAGATCGGTCTCCGTGTCGGTGTCGAGACCACTCGACATGGACGGCGTGAAGCGAAGCTTGTCGTCAGGCAGGAGACAGTTCTCCAAGGTTATGAGCACCCCGGAGTACAGCCGGTCCCCAATCAGCACCCCCTGCGACCCGGGGGCTGCGCTCCCCGAGCCCGGAGTCCCGGCCGCTGCTGCAGGCGCCGCTGGTCCCGGAGCCACGGCCACGGCCGTCGCAGCCGCTGCTGCCGCCGCCATTTTGTGCCGCCGACTCCTCTTCGGGCTCTTTCCCGGCAGGGCGGCTCCTCGCGACGTTCTATAGCCGCGACCGCCCCGCCCAGCCGCGTGTCATTGGCTCCACCGGCAGGCAGCCCAGCGACACCTTGCCCTAATGGCTACGAGACCTGCCCGTCAGCGTTGCGGCCGACGCCGGAACCCGATGCGTGCGGGGATTGGCTCCTTACCCAGAAGGCCCCGCGGCGCCCAGGAGAGGCTGCGTCTGGGCCTTGAGCCGGAAGCACTAGCTGTAGGTGCCTTCCCGGAACATCCCGACTTATCTACACTTTCCTCGCAGAGTCCGGAGCTCGCGAGTCCCGCACTGCAACCCGAACGCTTCTTGATGGTCCCGCTGTTCGCAAAAGGGTTTGCGGACAGGCTGCAGGCAGTGGGTGAGGATCCGGGGCGCGGGCAGTCTGATTGGGCGGGACGACCCCTTCTCCAGGGCACGCGGAGGGGTCTGCGGCTGGTTTTCCGCTGTAGGATTGCGTCCGGCGAGCCTGGGGGTCCAGGGCTTGGGCGGAGGGGTGGAGCCTCGGAGGCTCCCTGGGAGGTGTTTGAGGGTTCTGAAAGGTTCACCTCTGCGGGGCGCGTGGGAGGAGCTCACACCCCTGCCCTCCAGAGAACCTGCAGAGACAGCTCTAGGGACAGGACCCTGCTCCGCGGTGATGACTGTGCCTGCCCTCAACTTCCGCTTCCGCTCTCGAATGTACTTGTTCCATCTTCCTCCGGGCGGAAACCTCCACGGGGCTGACCGTGGCTGCACATTCCGGTTTGCAATTTTTTCTGCCTGAATAAATCAGTTTTGCTGAATGAATACTTGGCCGACGTTTTACTTATGTCCGGCATATTTGGGGTTCATCTGGAATCCAGAGAAGACCCCCTCCCCATAGCTCCAGGGCTGGTGAGCAAACTTGTGTGGCGCCCATAGGGCCATCTAAGCTCCCTGTTTTTCTCCAGCCAAAGGGTAAATTTTCTCCCGGATTCGAGCTTCTGCTTTGTGTTCTTAAGTTTTCTGGGCTTTATTCAGGATCTAGTTAGAGGGCTCTTTTTCCTGTTTGCCTGAATTAATACATAGCAGCTGTCGTGTCATTACGCTCCAGTTCTTAGTGAATCCAGGTTTTGGGGTACAAATATTAACACCAGCTCACCAAAGTTCTTGCCTTCAGAATAGAGGCAGAGTCAAAACAAAGAGAATTGAGTCAACAGGGAAGAGTACCTGGAAACATTGAATTCAATTTCTACAAAGCCCATGGCATCGTTTGAAAATAAATGGATTCCTGAAGGAATCTTGAGGAGGGGGGCCATGCTGGGATGCCCCAGGAGCCCTGGTAGGGGGCTTGGACTTCGCCCTACAAACAGCAGAAGCACTTGAGGTGTTGATACATTTTTGAACCCCTCTTGCTTCTACTCACTACTTCCTAGCAGGTTGTATCAGGCGTTCTCTTGGTTAGTGACTGCCAGCCTCTGGTGGTATTTATATCACCTGACAGCCCTTGCGGGCATGGTTTAGTGATTAGGACATCAGCCTGCGAATATGCCTGTGGACAGAGAGGTCCTGGGTTCAATTCCTGGTCAGGACACATACCTGGGTTGCAGGTTTGATCCCTGCCCTGGTCAAGGTTGCGCAGGAGGCGCCAATCGATGTGTCTCTGTTGCATCCATTTCTCTCTCTCCCTTCCTCCCTCCTTCTATTTTTTTTTTTTTTTTTATCCTCACCCGAGGACATTTTTCGATATTTTGTTCAGATAGAGTGGGAGGGAGAGAGAGAGAGAGAAACATCGACATGAAAGCGACACATCGAGTGGTTGCCACCCGCACGACCAACCAGGGCCGGGGACAAACTGCAACTGAGGTACGTGCCCTTAGCGGGAACCGAACCCGGGTCTCTCCGGACCGCAGGCCGACGCTCTAACCGCTGAGCCAAACCGGCCAGGGCCCTCCCTCCTTCTAAAAAATAAAAATCAGTCAATGGAAAAATGTCCTCAGGTGCGGATTAACAACAAAAAACACATAGACATAAATCCGGTAAGTCAGTCACCTGACAGCATGCTGTCACATCTGCAGCAGAAGAGCAGGTGCAGTATTAGGTATTTGTTGCTACAGTTGCCCCAAACTTGCACCAGGACCAGTGGTGGGAAAGGAGGAATTTCTTGCCTGGAAACCCCAGCAAACAGCTTGCTTATCATTGGCCCCTGGTCTGGGCTGCTTGTCCATTCCCTGAGCAGTGACTGGCCAAAGGAGAAGAAAAAGCTCATGGCTCTAGCCAGTCAGGACCAGGCCCAGGAAGGGAAAGGGGTCCAGTGGTTTGAAGGGGAACGAGTGTTGGAAACAGCCCACAGTTGCCTGACACACCTTCATCAAACTTGAACAAAAGAGTGAACAAGACTACCCCAAGTCTCCAAATGTCTCTTATCTAGTGATCATTATACACAGTAACAAGGGCTGGGGGAGGGGGATGTCTCTTAGGAGGTTAGTGCAATGACTGGAGCCAGAAGAGATGTTAGCCTGCAGTGAGGATGGAGGAAAGTGTAGATTACCAGGCAGTAGACGGTCAGGACTTGATTGGCTCTGGATGGGGATTGGAGGCGGGTTTTGGTCTGAGGAAGGAACCCAGAAGGACCTCCAGGGGGCTGCTGGAAAGGATGGAGGGTGGTGTCCCTACAGGACCCAGCATAGGAGCATTAAGAGTGGAGGGAGACAGATGTGCATTGCCAGATAAATGCAGGAGCCACCAGCAAGCAGTGAGTGCTACTATGGGCCTGCAGAGCTTCCCTGGGGCAGGGCCCTGGAGGGGAGTGAGAGGGAGGGCGGAGGGAGTACATGGTCCTTGGAGGTCAAGGGCTAACAGTATCTACTGGGTTTGGTTTCAGGAGATGGCTTTGGTGAGAGCCATTGGGGCCGACTGCAGACTCGGTAACAGGCTAGAGGTGGAGAGCCGAGTGGGGCCCACAGGAAGGAGAGCATGCTCCAGAAATGGAAGGTTTCACAATACAGATAAGAGGCTGAGTGGAACCAGCTCCAGAGAAGGCAAAAGAGTAGCCCTGGCCCTGGGCAGGAGGGGGCACATCCTACACCACCTCTGGGTGGTAGTGTGGAGGCAAGGGTGGGTAAGGGAGGTGCAGGGCTGGGCAGAGCTGTGAATCCCATGTCAGTGGAGTGAGCATGCTGAGAAATTGTTCCTGACTGGACTCAATGAAGTAGAGTATTTGGGGGACGGATCTCACCAGGTGGTCCTACAGGGGCTAAGGTGAGCTGGACCAGAAGAGCCACCCTGCTGCTGTCCCTCCAGGGCTGCGGAGTGAGGGGACAGCAGGAGACAGGCTGGCGTGCAGAGCAGCTGAAAAGCTGAGCCACAGGATCCCTGCTGGAAAGGCTGAAGGGCAGAGAGCAAAGTCGAGCGTAGATAGGGCCAGAGTGGGGCTGGGGGCCTTGTGGGCTAGATGGGCATCCCCAGCGCGGAGGGGAGCCAGGGTCAAAGTTCAGAGTCTTGATGCAAACACCCCACTTGCAGGAGAGGACCCAAAGTTCCAAGAGGAAGGCACATGCTCAGTTGACCCCTCACCCTGGCAGCCCCTCCCACCACACAGCCACAGAGGGTGGCACTGGAGGCAGAGCACACAAGGTGTGTTTGCTTGACGCCAGAGGACACAACTCAAAATGCTGACCATCATACAAACTTTATTAGCACAATCTCTATGAGATGTTTCTGGTCTATCCCCAGGAGGCCAGACAAGCCTTTTCTTACTGAAATGTAAATTAACACAATTGCAAATCAAGCTTAACACATTCTTGTCAAATGACTCTTAGCCCCTGTTTTAATTATGATCATCAGGGAGAAAGCCTTTTCCTAAGACCCGGCTGCAGAGGCCAGGTGGTGTTAGTGTCCCCTCAGTGGTACTGTACCACTCTGGAAAATATACCTTCAGGCTCCTTCCCGTCTCCCAAGGCAGCAGCAAAGCCTTCCTGTTGCCTCCTTTTGGCCAAAGCAGCTAAGGACTTAAAAGTCTTTGGTTCATAGATGGCCAGGTCGGCCAGTACTTTCCTGTTGAGCTCCACCTGGCACTGTAAAGAGAATCAGAGCCTGTTTCAGCATCAGAGATGTGTTTCCCTGAAGCAGAAGAGAATGTCACTCAGCTCCTAGTCATAGCACCTAAGCTTGAGCATCTCAGAGGAGCACATTCCACACGGCTCCAGGGCAGGCTCTGCCCTCACAGGATACACTATCTGTTTGGTGAGGTGAGTGGAGGGGGAAAGGGGTGGAAGTGGTGAATTCCATCCCAGCAAGACACTGGAGGAGGATGTGGACAAGGAAGGGACTGCATCCCTGCAGGAGGTGACTGGAGAGGAGGCTGGCATCCGGTCCTGATGCTAGGAAACCAAGGGCCCTGTTTAGGGTCAATGGTCATTACCCAGACAGAAATTACAACTGTAGGCCTAGGATAAGACTTGAAATCAGTTCAGAAGAGAAAACGACAATTCCCATTTAAAAACAATGAAACCAGACATGAGCAGAGAAAGCAGGGACCAAAACTGGGCATTCCCAATTCCCCCGAGACAGCCAAACCAAGTCGTCTGCCAAGTAAAACTGCAAGTGACTTCAAAAAAACTGAGGCCCTGCCCTGGCCAGTCTGGCTCAGCGGTTAGAGCGTCAGCCTGCAGACCAGAAGAGGTCCGGGTTCGGTTCCCGCTAAGGGCACGTATCTCGGTTGCAGTTTGTCCCTGGCCCCCATGTGGGTGGCGACCACTCGAAGTGTCTCTCTCACATCAATGTTCCCCTCTCTCTCTCTTCCTCCCTCTCTCCCTCCTGCCTCTATCTCGAGATGAATGCAAAACTGTCCTTGGGTGAGGATAAAAAACAAAACAAAACTGAGGCCTTAGCAGGCATGCCTCAGTTGGTTAGGCACTGTCCCATGTCCTTAAAGGTTGCCAGTCTAATTTCAGGTCAGGACACATGCCTAGATGGTGGGCTCGATCCCCGGTAGGAAGCATTGATGTTTGGCTCTCACATCAATGTTTCTCTCTCCCCCTCTTCTCTCTCTAAAAATCAGTAAGGCTTGGCTAGCGTGGCTCAGTCAGTTGAGTGTTGTCCCATGCACCAAAAGGTCGCCGGTTCAATTCCTCATCAGGGGACATACCAGAGTGGCAAGCTTAATCCCCAGTAAGGGGCATGCAGGAGGCAGCCAACTGGTGTTTCTCACATCCGTGTTTCTCTCCCTTCCTCTCTCTCTCTCAAATCAATAGAAACATATTTTTAAAAAGTAAAGAAAAATATTTAAAAACAAAAAAACAAGCAGAAGAGAGGTGGGATGGTCTCCATGCATTACCTGCAGGAGCGGAGCCTGCTCCACCACTCGGGACCTGTGTGCCCTGGGTAAAGTCCTTCTCCTTTCTGAGCCTCAGTCAGTTCCTCAGCAGGACCCCAAGGATCTTTGTCAAGTACCCAAAACAGAAACTGGTACAAGCACAATACAGAAGCACAATACCCCCCCTTCCTCAGAAATAGCATTATCACCAGATAAACCAATTACCAAGATTTCATGACATGTTTACCCCCTCAAGACATTTTCCCTCCTTGTCCTGGCCGGTCTGGCTCAGTGGTTAGAGTGTCGGCCTGTGGTCCAGAGAGATCTGGGTTCACTAAGGGCCTGTACCTCGGTTGCAGTTTGTCCCCGGCGCTGGTTGGGTTGTGCAGGTGGCAATCACTTGATGCGTCCCTTTCACGTCAATGCTTCTCTCTCTCTCCCTCCCACTCTATCTGAACAAAATATGGGAAAATGTCCCCGGGTGAGGGAAAAAAAAAAGACATTTTCCCCTCCTTAAAAAAAAAGTTTTTACTGATTTTAGAGAAGAGAAAGGGAGATACATCGATGAGAGCAAATCGCCATTCCGCTGCCTCCTGCACACCCCCGACTAGGAATCAAACCATCGACCTCCTGGTGCATGGGATGATGCTCAACCAACTAAGCCCACACAAGCCAGGCTCCCTCCTTTTTTTTTTAATCCTCCCCCGAGGACATTTTTTTGATATTTTGCTCAGATAGAGTGGGAGAGAGAGGAAGGGAGGGAGGGAAAGGGAGAGAGAGAGAGAGAGAGACATAGACGTGAAAGGGACACATCGAGTGGCTGCCACCCACACAACCGAATCAGGACCAGGGACAAACTGCAACCAAGGTACGTGCCCTTAGCAGGAACCGAACCCGGGTCTCTGGAGACCGCAGGCCAACGTTCTAACCGCTGAGCCAAACCAGCCAGGGCAGGCTCCCTCCTTTTTGACTGTATGAGTTTCAACTCTATCGGCTGTCTCATCAGAACTCATTCAGGGTAAAAACTTTGAAATTAAATTTTAAAGTTAAAGCTTAGCTTTTCTGCCTTTTCCCCTTGATGAGGCAACACCAGTTTTTGTGTCTTACCCATTTCCAATTCCACCACCAGCAGGACAAGGGCAGAGCTAGCATGAGGAGTCCCTGAACCTGCCAGAACTACACCCAGAGAACAAAAGCAGTGTCCAGGTGCTGACACTCACTGCCATGCTGTGGGGCCACGCCAGATGGGCCAATTTCCGTACATATTCATCATTTCGACAGGACCACACCATCAACCATACCTTAACTAAATTGGCAATGAAAGCTGGGTACTTCAGGCCATGTTCCTGGGAAGCAGCTGTAATTCGATTAATCCAGAGCTGAAATAGGAAAATATCGAGATGTTTGAGAACTGCATGTTGTGCCCACATCTCCCAACAAAGGTTCTGAATGGACTAGTTTGTAAAAATAAACAGAAAATAAATAGAAAAATAAAAAAATAAATCTAATAGTGTTTTTTACTTAGCCTTGCAATACAAACAGCAGCAAGCTAAGACTGGTGCTCCTTACCCAAATGGCAGCTTCCTTCTCAAAACATAGGGAAGTTTGTGCAGTAAGGTTGCATTCAAAACCCACTTTTAGGCACTGAGCACACAGATAGATGAGTGAGAGACTGTAGCACACAGGCTCAGAGTGTGAAAAGAATCCACGTGGTGAGTTTTGGCAACCACTGGGCGAGTGCTACCACGGGGATGAAACGCTGGTGGTGGGAGCTCCAGGGAGAACAGCCTGAGGGAGGAGCTGGGCTGGAGGAAAGGCGGACCTCGCTGGCAAGGAGCTGTGGGGCCAGAGCAGGGAGCTCCAGGGCAGGGGACTCCAGGTTAGGAGGTGAGCAGGGAAAGATGTGAAAGGATGAGCCAGTGATACAGACGCTTTTGCACGGATCTGTTCTGTCAAACAAGGGGACTCTCTTAAGTCAGTCTTGACACAACGTTGCCACTCAAGTCCACTTCTTCTACCTCAGTGGTTCTCGAGTTCGATCGTGCACCAGAACCACCCACGGGTTTGTTAGAACAGATTGTTAGAACCAGTGCTTCTGCTTCAGTAGGCGCTGGTGGAGCCTGAGAATCTACATTTTAACTAGTTCCCACCAGATGCTGCCGTTACACACAGACCCCCACCCTGGCAACCTCTGCTGCTCTGTGGCAGCAAACGTGGCATGCCACGGGGCTCTGCCCACAGCTCTTCACAGAACATTGGGTCAGAGGCACAGCTGGATCCCAGGGCCGCACCACCGTTATCCCATGCTGAGAAAACCCAGAGGCAAACAACAGAGCTGGGACGCAGAGGCCGCTCTGCACAGACCCACGTGCACGGGGACCCTAATCCACGGGGGAAGAGGAACATCTGATTTTAAAGGGTTAAAATCTCACACACACCCGCCCCTTATTCATTCAGCCCATGTTTGCGGAGGTTACTGATCTAGACCGAGTCGCGACAATCAACAGCAGAAAGATGCCCCGTGAGACACACTCCAGAGGTGGGGGCGGAGCACCACCCACCCACCCAAGTAAAACACCGGGAGCACTGGACGCTGAGTTCCCGGCGGTGCCCAGCTGCGCTGCCCTGAGAAGGGGACACGTCCCGGAAATCCACGTGCAAACTGCGTGGGAGGGAGGCAAGCAGGAGTGGGGAGGGCGTGGTCGGGGGCCAGAGCAGAGTAACCACGTGGGGGGATGCGGGGCCACGCGGGAAGGTCTGGGGTGGAGCAGCGGGCGCGCAGCAGGCACAGCGGGGACACTGGCGAGGGGGCTCCCGGCGGGAGGGCGCGAGAAGGACGCGGGACCCTGCCGGGGTTGGGGTGCAAGAGCAAGAGAAACAAAGGCACTGAGGGTGGTGCTGGGGGTCCCGCCTCGGCACCGGGAGGACCGCGGAGCCATCCCGGGAGGCGGGTGCGGCCTCGGCCACGCCGTGGGTCCCCTCGGCCCGCAGTGCCGCGGCTCACCGTCCTCAAGTTCCTCTTCTTCAGCCTCCGGGCCTTCGTGCATTTCACGAACGCTCTCGTCACCGCCCGCACGGCCAGCCGGTAGCAGCGGTTCTTCCTTCCGCGGAAGTGCTGGGGCAGAGGAAGAACGGAAAGGAGGGTTGTCGGCGGGCCCGCAGGCTCGCGGGGCGCGCAGGGGCGCGGGGCGTGCGCGGCGACTCACCCGCGCGTGCTTCAGCACCTCCTGGACCCGCCAGTAGCGGTCGGTGACGCGGCTCCGCAGCCAGAGCTGCGCCGTCAGGAAGACCATGGCGCCCGGCGCTGGCGGCTCAGCCCCCGGCGCACGCGCCTCGCCGCCCGAGCACTTCCGGGTCAGCCGCCCGCCGGGGACTTCCGGGGCGCAGCGCGAGCGTCCTCGCCCCGCCCTCGTGCGCATGCTCCGGCGCGGCGCCAGTGCGCGCGCAGCCTCCTGGTGTTCGGCCCCTCCGCCCCCTGCCCCCGTCCAGGTTGTGGAATCGAGGGCGTGCGACAGGCGCGGAGGAGAAGTAAATACGGGTCCACCCGCTAACGTGGGCCATCGAGTGCCCTGCGGCGATGAAAGGAGCGAGGCAGGGCCCACTGCGTGAGTGCGGAGCCCACGAGCTGTACGGTCCCGGCCCACGGAGTGCCCGGAATAGGCGGATTCACGGACACGAGCCCACGGGGAGTGGCTGCCAGCGGGCGGGGATCCTTTTCCAGGGGTGACGCGTTCTGCAGCTGGATAGTGGTGGCGGTTGCATAACTCCGTGAGAATTGGACCTTTTAAAATGCTTAAGCTGGTAAATTTTACATTCTGCGTAATTTACCATAATAAAAACAAAAAAAGTGCGGGGTGGGCATAAAATAAGTGCAATGTCTTGGTTGTGTTTGGATGTGATTTTATTTATTTATTTATTTTTTTATCCACAACCGAGGACATTTTTTCCATTTTTTTTGCTCCGATAGAGTGAGAGGCAGAGAGAGGAAGAGAGAGAGAGAGAGAAACATCGACGTGAAAGGGACACATCGAGTGGCTGCCACCCGCACGACCAACCAGGGCCGGGGACAAACTGTAACTGAGATACATGCCCCTAGCGGGAACCAAACCCGGGTCTCTCTGGACCGACGCTTTAACCGCTGAGCCAAACCGGCCAGGGCTGGATGTAATTTTAAATTCTAGAAAAGTTGCAACACTAGTTGAAGGAACTCCTCAATATGCTTTCCCCAAAGGCACCGTTTACATTTTGCTCCAACTTTATTTTCACGTTTTATTTATTTTTTTTGTTAATCCTCACCTGAGGGTATTTTTCCGTTGATTTTTAGAGAGAGTGGAAAGGAGGGAGGGAGAGACATCAATTCACATCGATTGGTTGCCTCCCAAGTGACCAGTGCGGGGGGTCAAACCTGCAAGCCAGGTACTGCCCTTCACCAGGAATCAAACCCAGACCCTTCAGCCTTTGGGCTGATGCTCTCACCGCTGAGTCAAACCAGCAGGGGCACATTTTGCTTCATTTTCAATCATTCTTTACAAATGTTTATAAACACATCACTGGGTTTTGCTGGACCATTTGAAAGGAAGTTGGAGGCCTAGCTGGTGTGGCTCAGTGGTTGAGCATCAACCCAGCACCAAGAGGTTGCCAGTGCGATTTCCGGTCGGGGCATATGTCCAGGTTGTGGGCCAGATCCCCAGTGGGGAGCATGCAGGAGGCGGCCAATGGATGTTCTCTCTCATCGATGTTTCTGTCTCTCTCCCTACCCCCTTCCTCTCTCTAAAATCAATAAAGAAAAAAAAATTTTTTTCTAAAGAAAAGGAAGTTGGAGACACCTGTATAATGCATTGTGTATTTCCTAAGAACGGGAACATTCTCTTACAAACCACAGTCCGTGATCAAAATCGGAAATTTAATGTTAATAAAATGCTGTTGTCTACCTCTGGTTCATATTCCAATTTTGTCAAATGTTCTTTTTTTCTTTTAATCCTCACCCGAGGACATTTTTCCATTTTTTGTTCAGATAGAGTTGGAGGGAGAGAGAGAGAGAAACATCGATATGAAAGGGACACATCGAGTGGTTGCCACCCGCATGACCCAACCAGGGCCGGGGGCAAACTGCAACCGAGGTACATGCCCTTAGTGGGAACTGAACCCAGGTCTCTCTGGACCACAGGCCGATGCTCTAACTGCTGAGCCAAACTGGCCAGGGCTGTGAAATGTTCTTTATCACTTTTTTCCCTGCCCAGGATCACATACTGTATTTCGTAGTTTCTAATTTTTAGTCTTAATGTGGGCCTGTTCCTCAGCCTTTCTTTGTCGTTCTTGACCTCAACATTCTAGATGAATAGAGGCTACTTTTGTTGAATGTCTCTCAATTTGAGTTTGACGTTTCAGATTATGCTTTTTTTTTTTTTTAACCTCACCCGAGGACATTCTTCCATTTTTTTGTTCGGGTAGAGTGGGAGAGAGAGAGAGAGAGAGAGCGCGAAACATCTACGTGAAAGGGATACATCGAGTGGTTGCCACCCCCACGACCAACCAGGGCTGGGGGCAAACTGCAACCAAGGTACATGCCCTTAGCGGGAACCGAACCTGGGTCTCTCTGGACCGCAGGCCGATGCTCTAACTGCTGAGCCAAACCGGCCAGGCTATGTTTTTTGTTTTTTATTATTTTATTTTATTATTTTTTTTATCCTCACCCAAGGACATTTTTCCATTTTTTGTTCAGATAGAGTGGGAGGGAGAGAGCATCAACGTGAAAGGGACACATCGAGTGGTCGCCACCTGCACGACCAACCAGGGCCGGGGACAAACTGCAACCGAGGTACATGCCCTTAGCGGGAACCGAACCCGGGTCTCTCTGGACCACAGGTCGATGCTCTAACTGCTGAGCCAAACCGGCCAGGGCACATTATGCATTTTTAGTAGAATACTACATTAACTATACTGTGTTCTCGGTGCACGGCGTCAGAAGGCCATGATGGCAGCCTGTCCCAACATGGTGATGTCTGCCTTGACCCGTTGGTGAGGGTCTTCTTTGCCAGGTTTCTCCACCATTTCTGCATTTGTAACTATTAAGGACTTTGCAGAGAAATACTCTGTGAGTCATTTCAGGCGTTGCTAGGAGCAGACGCTGAGATGGAGATGGATGTACGGAGGTGTGTTGTGGAAAGTCTGTCAAAGGAGGAAGAGGAATTGGACCGGGAGTACCTTAGATGGGATGCAGATCGGACACCATCTCGACTAAACCAATAGTTCTGAAGCAAAGATCGCCCCTCAGAGAAGCCTCATGTTAGGTGAAAATGGCCAGGCCCTGGTCCCTTTGCTGTGCTCGGCCAGTGAATGTCTGGGGCTGCCAGGAAAAACACGCCATGGACTGAGATGCTGCCGTAAACCTGCAATAAATGACAGGTGCAGAAACTGAGTGGCTGCTTGAGCAGCACCCCTCATGGCGCCACACTGTAAGATAGCATGAATATCTTGTCTTCGTCAAATTTGCACTCACTCGCCCTGGCCGGTTTGGCTCAGAGGTTAAAGCGTTGGCCTGCGGTCTGGAGAGACCCGGGTTCGGTTCCCGTGGGGGGCACGTGCCTCGGTTGTGGTTTGTCGCGGGTCCTGGTTGGGTCCTGCGGGTGGCAACCACTCGATGTGTTCCTTTCATGTCAATGTTTCTCTCTCTCTCTTCCTCTCTCTCCCTCCCACTCTATCTGAACAAAAAATGTCCTCGGGTGAGGATTAAAAAAGAAAAAAATTTTGCACTCACTCACTTGAACATCCTTTGTTGAATTTCTAACTCCATGATTCTTCCCCTACTTGTTGGCATTCTGCTTAAAGAAGAGCTTTCCCTTTTGTGGGTGCAGCTTTAAATAGTGTTAGAAGTGCCCAGCAGGTTGAGCATTGACCCTGCACCAAGAGGTCACTGGTTCGATTCCGGGTCAGGGCACATGCCCAAGTTGTAGGCCCCATCCCCCATGCAAGGCATGCAGGAGGTGGCCAGTCGATGTTCTCTCTCATCGATGTTTCCATCTCTCTTCCTCTCCCTTCCTGTCTCTCTAAAATCAAAAAGAAAAAATATAGCCCTGGCCGGTTTGGCTCCGTGGTTAGGGCACGTACCTCGGTTGCAGTTTGTCCCCGGCCCTGGTTGGGTTGGGTGGCAGCCACTCGATGTGTCCCTTTCATGTCAATGTCTCTCTCTCTCTCTCTCTCCCCCTCCCTCCCACTCTCTCTGAACAAAGTATCAAAAAATGTCCTCGGGTGAGGATAAAAAGAAAGAAAAAATATATATTAAAAATAAATAAATAAATAGTGTTAGAAGAGGACACTGAGGGTGATGTTGGAGGGAAGAAGGAAGTGACCGACCAGCCAGTGCAAAGGCCCGAGGCAGGAGCTACCTAGTGGGGTCAAGAAGAGCAAAACTGTCAATGTTGGGGAAGCAGAGCAAGTGAGGGTCCCTGGGTCAGGCCCTGTACCTCAGTGAGCAAGTTGGGGGCCTAAGACGGATGTTGGTGAGGATACTTAGGGCCTTGAAGGTCATACAAGGACTTTGATGTCCTGGCTGCACTCGGACTTGCTCACAGCATGGCAGCTTCAGGACAGTCAGACTGCTGCTGTGAGGCTGGAGGACAAAGCAGTGTGGAAGTCGTGTTGCCTCCTTAAGGGGCCCACTGTGGAACAGTCACAAAAGACCACTCAGCGTCGAGGGTCCGAGACACAGACTCCAGCCCTGGATGGGAGGAACATGGTCACATTGATGGAGGAGCACACGACACCGGCTAATTCACCAGGACATCTGTGAACAGCACTCTACACCACGTTTGGTTTTCTGTCTCCGTGAAAGGGAGCCCTTGGGGAGATCGTGAGCAGGAGAGTGGCATCCCCTGACTTACTGGATAAGACAGCAGCTACTGCTTCGAGAACAGGCTGCAGAGGCACGGGCCCAGGCAGGAAGATCAGTTAGACTGGGGCTGGCCTGGCTATGGCAACACCCCAGGCAGGCTGACGTGGAGGGGGCTTGGAGCTTAGCGCATGCAGTGGAGGAGGAGAGGCAGTGGGCTGTGGGTGAGCTCTGACCGCAGAGCCCACAGGCTGTTGGCCACCTGGGTGTAGGTCCACCTGCCGTTTCACAACCATCCTTACTCAGGATTCCCAGGATCTCACTCCAGCTCCCACCATCCCCCATTGTCATCTGCATATCTGCTCCCCCCATCTAATAAAAGGTCTACCACCTACCCCTCCACCTTGGGCCTAAGCCTCCCTAGGAGTCCTTGTTATCTCTGTTTCCCTGGCCCCCCATGTCCAACCATCAGCAAGTCCAGGGGGCTCTGCCCACAGAACCACCCAATTCTGCCTGCTTCTCCCTTGTCCACTGCCATGGCCACCATCTCACTAGAGTCCCTGTGCCGCCCTTTCCTAGGTACAGTCCACTGTGCACTTGGCAGACTGCGTGAGCCAAGCAGACATGTCATACAGCACAGACTCCCTAAAGCAGTGGTTCTCAACCTTCCTAAGGCCGCGACCCCTTAATACAGTTCCTCATGTTGTGGTGCCCCCAACCACAAAATTATTTTTGTTGCTACCTCATAACTGTAATTTTGCTACTGTTATGAATTGCCATCGGAAATACGAGTTTTCCGATGGTCTCAGGCGACCCCTGTGAAAGGGTCGTTTGACCCCCAAAGGGATCGCAACCCACAGGTTGAGAACCGCTGCCCTAAAGGCTTCCTGTTGCCCTGGGAGTACAATCCAAGCCCTTCCATGGCCCAGAACAGAGGCACTCACTGGGCATGACAATTCTCACTTTTGAAAGGTGAACTCTTGTAAAGCTATTTTTTCAGAAAAAGCATACTTTAACATTTTTTTAAATTTATTTTTATTGTTGTCCTGGCCGGTTTGACTCAGCGGTTAGAGTGTCGGCCCGCAGACCAGAGTCCTGGGTTCGGTTCCTGCTAAGGGCATGTACCTTGGTGGCAGTTTGTCCCCAGCCCTGGTTGAGGTTGTGTGGGTGACAGCCAGTCGATGTGTCTCTCTCACGTTGCTGTTTCTCTCTCTCTCTTCCTCCCTTTCTGACCTGCCATTCTATCCGAAGATAAATGCAAAAATGTCCTCCAATGAGGATAAAAAAAAAATGTATTTTTATTGAAGTATTACAGATGTCCCTTCTTTTTTCCCCCATTGATCCCCCTCCTCCCTGCTCCCAGCCTCCAGCCTTCACCGCGTTATTGTCTGTGTCCATTGGTTATGCACATATGCATATAAGTTCTTTGGTTTATCTCTCTCTCTTTTTTTCAATCCTCACCCAGGGATATTTCTCTATCTTCAGATAGAGTGGGAGGGAAAGAGAGTGGGAGAAAAAGGGAGAGAGAGAAACATCAACGTGAGAAGGGCACATCGACTGGTTGCCTCCCTCATGACCCTCCTGGGGACGAACTGAGGTACGTGCCCTTGGCCGGAATCAAACCCGTGACTCACTGGTACGCAGGCCAACACTCTACCACTGAGCCAAACTGGCTAGGGCTGGTTTATCTCTTTAATTGAATAAAGGCAATGATTTTCTATGAGGGTACAGAGGCAAGAGGTTGGAGACAACAGGCCTTTTTTTTTTTTAATAAGATATTTTGTTTTTTAATTTTTTTTTCTTTATTGGTTTTAGAGAGAGAAGAAGGGAGAGGGGGAGAGAGAAAGAATCACCTACGAGAGAGAACACTGATTGGCCGCCTCCTGCATGCCACCCCCCCCACCCCCCGACTGGGGATTTGGCCCACAACCTGGGCATGTGCCCTGACCGGGAACTAAACTGGCGACCTTTTGGTGCAGGGTCATTGCTCAACCACTGAACCAAACTGGCTGGGCAGGCCCTTTCAGCTGTACCAGAGGGTTTTCATTTATGAAGATGGCTGAGTGGTGACAGAGAGATGGAAGCCATGGAAAGCAGATATTTATTACTTACATTTCCTGAGAGGAGGGGACACGCCAGGCCCCAAAGTGCCACAGGGAGACCAGTGTCGGTGAGGAGGCAGGAGTGGGAAGGGAGGGGGTTTCAGGCCAGAGCCTTTACTGGGGTCCCAGCAGGAAAGGTAAGGCAAGGCAGGGGGACCTTTGAGACTGGCTTGTTTGATAATCCCAGTGGGCCTTGCTGCATGGGGGCCATCTCTAGCTGTCTGGTACCTGCCCCAGGTGATTTAGGGCGGGGAGTATTAGCTGGGTGTATGGGCTCTGGATCGCAGGAGAGCTGTAAATAATTGTGGCCGTAGGTTTGGCCCCGTAATTAATGGGAGCAAGTAGGCAAATGCTGAATCTAAGAAAACAGTAAGAGCACCCCCAGGTATAGAGAGAGCAGCTGAGGGGACACCCCCACGGTGGACAGACAAAACAGAGACCATCAGGTTTCGGGCAAATCTATGGCCACGACTCAGTCTCTCTACCAAAGATCGTGAAGGCTGGAGCTGCAGAGATGGTGTGTCCCTGGGAGTTGGCTCGAGTCACTGTCCCCTTCTCCAGGAACTCTCGGCTGTTCTCCCCTCCACCCAGGCAGGTGTCCTCAGCCCCAAGAGAGGAGCCTGGCACACTCCCAAGGCTACGGGAGCCAGGAGCCTCCTGTCCTGTGCTGACCCAGTGCCTCTAGCGGTCATTCTACTCTCTGCAAAGGGTGGGCTGAACCTGGGACAGGCCCCCCTCAGACACCAGCTCCTGGGCCACCTCACCCCACTGTGTTCTCAGGGTGGGGTTGGCCCCTCGGCTCAGCAGAAGCTCTGCCATGGGGCTGTGGCCCCGCTCCACAGCAAGGTGCAGGGGTGTCTTGTGGAGCCAGCCAGTAGCATTGACCTGTGCACCCCTGTCCAGGAGGTGGCTGGCGACTTCCACGTGGCCTCCTCGAGCGGCATGGTGCAGGGGTGTGAGGCCCAATGAGTCTCCAGCATTCACCTCAGCTCCCCAGGCTGCCAGTAGCTGGACAGCAGGCAGATGTCCACTAGCAGCAGCCCTATGGAGTGCAGAGCGTCTGTGCCTGTCCTTGAGGCTTGGGTCTGCCCCGTGGTCAAGCAGCACCTCCATATCCTGGAAGAAGAGGGGAGGACCAGGTATGGGCCAGCCCTGGCCCAGGTGGGTGAAGGGCTGGGGCCACCACGCCATTTGCCTGAGCCACATCTCATCTGGCCTGAGTCACCTAACTGCCTCTTTCTCGACACTGCTTCCCCATATAGCACCCTGGGTTGGGGGGGATCTCTGCTTAGAGACTTCCACTTGTCTCCCTAATAGTCCTTGGATCAGATTCAATCCCTGTAGCCAACTGTGGGCCCTCCCGCTGTCTGGGAGCTGGCTGGGCTCAAGCACACGCCTGGTGCTCAATAAATATTTGTTGCTGTGGGTCCCAGAACCAAGTCCGAATGCCCGGCCAGGAGTCCTCCCGGGCTTCCTTGAGCCGTTTACAAACCGGAAGCATTCTCAAGGGTGCACTCAGGTCCCCGACGGCCAGGCCGAATCCTCCCGCCATCCTGCAGCCTTGGGCCGAGGGTGTGGTCTCCTCCGCCTGCCCAAGGGGTCCGCTCTGGCTGAGCCCTCCCCACACCTGGTGGACGGTGCGGCCCCTGGGGCGAAGGCTGCTCCTCTGCATCCGCCCCCTCACTTGGGGGTGAGGCCGGGACGTACCTGTCGGTGGCCCAGACCCGCGGCGACCCCGAGTGCGGTAGTCCCCGCGCCGTCCCGGGCGTCCACCCGCGCGCCGCACTCCAGGAGGAGGCGCAGCGCCGCGGCGCGCCCGGCCGCAGTCGCCACGAGCAGGGCTCCGTCCAGGCCCGGGTCGCCGCCCGCTGCGAGCAGCTCCAGCACCGGCAGCCGGCCGCCCGCAGCCGCCCAGTGCGCTGCCGTCCAGCCGCGCGCGTCCGCCGCCTCCGGGCCCGGGCCCGGCGCGCCCAGGAGGAGCCCGGCCAGCAGCGTGCGGCCCAGCGCGGCCGCCCAGTGCAGCGGCGTGAGGCCGGCCCCGGAGCGCGCCGCCGTCGGGGCCCCGCGCCGCAGCAGCAGCTCGGCCACCTGCGAGTGCCCGTGCCAGGGGGCCTCGTGCAGCGGCGTGCGCCCTGCGCGGTCAGCGGCTCCCACCGGAGCCCCGCGCTGCAGCAGGAGCCGCACCAGGGGCACGTGGCCGCGCAGCACGGCCAGATGGAGCGGGGTCCTTCCCGCGCGGTCCCTGTGGGGAGTGATGGCTGCGTGGGCAAGGGTGGGGCGGCCCGAGGATAAGACCCCATCCTGCCCCGCCTGGTGAGGGCTGCCCAGTTTAGCGACGGGCCGGCCTGGGGAAGGAACCTGCTACTTTCCACCCCCAGTGAAGAGACCCTGTCCTGCCCTGGGGCTCACCTCTCCTCCACACTGGCCCCTTGCCGCAGCAGCTGTGCTGCGAGGCCTGGGTGACCCCTCCACACGGCCAGCAGCAGGCGCCCTCCGGACTGTGGGGCACTGGCCCCCTCTGCCCCTGCTCCCAGGGCCTCCTCAGAACCCAGCTCTATCCATGTGAGTTCCTGCTCTGCTCCTGCCTCTGTGAGGTCCTGCTTCCCAGGCTCTGAGCTTCCAGAATTCATCTGGGAAGAACAGGGATCCTGTATGGATGCTGGAGGCCCCGAGCCAGTCCCAGCCCACCTGCACCCAGGCCAACCTGGACACCACCCCCACTTACTTTCTCCCCAGGGAACCAGGCTACTGGTTAGGTTTGGCTCTCAGTTACCCCCAGAGGGAGCCTGCTCAGGGACTCTGCCCTCTGGCTGGGGGTCCCTATGCTGATCCTGGTGCAGCACAGCCTGGTGGCCCTCTCGAGAAACGCCTCCCGCAGGTGTGGAGGGCAGGTGTCTGCTCCCAGAGGCCTGGAAGGCGAGAGCTGTAGTTGCCTGTGTATGTGGTGAGAGGGGAGGGAGCAGAGCAGCTTCCTGGGCCAGGCTGAGGGCCACTTCTCCACACTGTTTACCCAGGAACTAAAGGAGAGGCCCTGCCTGGCAGCCACATCCCTGTCTCCGCACCCTCTGCCAGTGCCCTGGGGAGACAAAGGCCAGGCAAGCAGGGGCACGCCCGTGGACTGCAGCTTCTCCGAGGAGCACAGCCTTCGATGTGTCAGGACTTGCCCCTGCCCCCTCCTCAGGTACCCACATGCCTTCCCATGGCTCCCTCCGTCAGGCCCTGCCCCTCACCCCCACTCCTGTCCCTGCTGACTGAGACCACCTCCCATGACTCATTGGTCCACGGGCCGACCCTCTACCATTGAACCAAACTGGCCAGGGCCATTTGCAGCATTTTTTTTAGAACTTTTTTTCTATTGATTTGAGAGAGAGAGGGAGAGGGAGAGAGAGATAGAAACATGGATGAGAGAGAACATCAATTGGCCACCGCCTGCATGCTCCCCACTGGGGATTTGGCCCACAACCTGGGCATGTGCCCTGACCGGGAATCAAACCAGCAACCTCTTGGTGCATGGGTCGAGGTTCAACCACTGAGCCACACTGACCAGGCCCATTTGCAGCATTTTAAACCCCACATCTGATTAAATAAGTACCTACTATAAGACCTTGACAGCCCTGGCCGGTTTGGCTCAGCGGTTAGAGCGTCCACCTGCGGTCCGGAGAGACCCGGGTTCGGTTCCCGCTAAGGGCATGTACCTCAGTCGCAGTTTGTCCCCGGCCCTGGTTGGTCGTGCGGGTGGCAGCCACTCGATGTGTCCCTTTCACATCGATGTTTCCCTCTCTCTCTCTCTTCCTCTCTCTCCCTCCCACGCTGTCTGTACAAAAGATGGAAAAAATGTCCTCGGATGAGGATTAAAAAAAAGAAAAAAAAAAAAGACCTTGACATGTGTGAGTGGTGTCTGTGCCCGGCCACAGGGCGTGGCATGAGCTTCAGGGGAGCCTCTACTGTCCTGAGGGGACCCGTCACAGGCAGGCTTGTGCTCCTTGACTCTGCCCCTCTGTCACTATCATCTCCCCCATTCATAGGTGTCTGATGGGACCTGGTGAGCCTGAGAAGCCTGGAACCTTAGAAGAAAAGTTGGAGGTGAGCCCGGGCTGGTTTGGCTCAGTGGTTATAGCATCAACTGTAGGCTAAAGAGTCACAGGTTTGATGCCCAGTCAAGGGCATGTACCTCAGTTGTGGGTTCAGTCCCTGGCCCCAGTTGGGGTTGTGCGGGAGGCAGCCAGTTGATGTGTATTTCTCACATCAATGTTTCTCTCTTTCTCCCTCCCACTCTATCTAAAAAATAAAAAAAATCAGCCCTGGCCAGTTTGGCTCAACGGTTGGAGCGTCAGCCTGTGGTCTGGAGAGACCCGGGTTCAGTTCCGGCCAAGGGCATGTACCTCGGTGGCAGTTTGTCCCCGGCCATGGTTGGGTTGTGCAGATGGCAACCACTCAATGTGTCCCTTTCACGTCGATGTTTCTCTCTCTCTCCCTCCCACTCTATCTGAACAAAAAATGGAAAAATGTCCTCAGGTGAGGATAAAAAATAAAAAAAAGAAAAAATCAATGGAAAAATATCCTCGGACAGGGATCAAAAAAACAATAACAAAGAACAGTTGGAGAAAGGTGATTGTGGAGCTGCGGAAGGGAAAGTTGGGGCCTGATGTCCACAGCCTCCTGTTCAGCTTACAGACAACCTGCTCACTAGCTTAAGTGTCAAGTGTTACAAGGAAGCCCTGGGGGTCTGGGAGGTGGTAAGAGTACTTTAGTGATATTCAGGGACATTAGTTGGGGTTTCTGGAAGGGCGGGGAATACTTTTCCCCACTTCAAATAAGGGAATCTGTGGTCCCAGTTCCCAGGATGGACTGCACTCCACACAAGGGCACCCGCCGCCGTGGTTGCTGTGCCTGTGTGTCAACTGTGCGCTGGGTCCTACATGCCCTCCTAACAGCACTCAGCTGCAGGCACACGGCATCTTCCATGTTTTGCCGAGGCTGAGAGGGGCCAGGTTTGGAGATGGGGAGACCAGCAGGGGTTCAGGCTGGGAAGTGGGGTGGGTGGTGACCTCTGTGTGGCAGCTCCTGATGGGGCAGTTGTCAGAGAGTCAAGACCCATGAAATGATGTCATTGTGAGGGGCCCGCTGGGAGGGGGAGAAGGCGGGACCGGGAGGGAGGAGGGCCCCGTGCCAGGCCATAGGGACAGCTGTGCAAGTCCTGACCAGAACACGCAGGAACTAGCTACAGAGGCTGGCCAGGGTCAGAGCTGCAGTCGCCTGGCAGAGAGAGACCTAGCTTGGCAGCAGGGAAAATTGAGGCAGCGGTGTGGCCCCAGAAACTGCCTGTCAGGGCTGGACCTACCTGGCCCAGGGTCCTGCCCTCCAGCTGGGTCCATTATCTGGTTGCTGGGGTCTGAGAAGGGGTCTGACCTGGGGACCTAGAGCTGACTCTGGGCGTCTCAGTCGCTGTCTGACTGCTGCTGTGAGCCCACCAGGCCTGTTGCCTGGGAGAACATGAGTGAGCAGGAGAGGGAGACAGAGGAGGATGAGGGAGGGGGCACTTCAGACACAGCACCCATGCTGCCCCGAAGGCATCCTGACCACCAGGCATCAGCCCTGATGTCTTCAGGGTGGGCAGGCCTGGCTGCCCGAGGCTTCAGGACCCTGCTGTGGCCCGGCCGGATTCTGGCAGGGCTCCTGCTCCACCTGCTGCTGCCCTCGACCCTGTTCCTGCTGGTGCTGATGCCGGCAGCTGCCATCATCTACTTGGGATTCCTGTGCCACTCCAGGGTGAGCTGAGCCCTCCATGGGCAGGGGCACTCGCTGGGACCCCTGGGGAGTGGGGTCCTGCGGAAGTTCGGGGCCCTGGGCCTGAAAGGGAATCTTCCCCCTTCTGGCACGGCCCCCTTGTCCCCAGAGGCACGCGTGTCCCTTCCTGGAGAGCCCTTCTTTGCCAACCCCTCCCCCATCAGCCACAGCAGAAGGGCGTTTGTTCCCCACAGGAGGGGGGGGACAGCTCTCTCCCCTACCCTGAGGCCTCCCAGCCTTGTACCAGGAGCCACCAGGGCCTGGACAGCTGGGCAGGGTGGGGAGAGGAGGGTGTTTCAGGAAGAGAAATGAAGATGTCAGATTTCACCAGTCCACAGCCCTTCCCCACCCCTGACCCCACACACAGCCCCTGGCAGACCCCTCCGACCCTGGGCTGAGTCTTGGTCCAGGGCAGAGAGGGTGTGGGCAGATGGGCCCCCGTGTCCACTTTCTATACGCCTAAGGCAGGGGACAGGGACCGAACATGGGGTCGCTGAAGAGAAGGGGATGCCAGCCGGTGACACCCACAGGTCGGGGCTCCTGGTCAGATGCCAGCATTGAGAAGGACCCTAGGACAGCAGTGTGTGTCGGGTGGGAAAGGGGGGTCGAACAACGGCGGGAAGGGGTGGGAATTCTTTGAGCCTCCCTTTAAAAGTTTCCTATTCTGGCCACTCACCACTTGGGCTCCTGATCTCCCATTTCCGACTCAGAAAGGATAGGCCCACAGGGGACCTCAGCTACCGAATCCTCCAGACCTGGGGCCCTGCCCCCTCACCTCGACTAGCCCTGGCAGTACGCCCTCAGGCTCGCTCCGTCCACCTGCTGCCCGACACTGCCCACGCTGAGCGCCCACCCCGCCCTGGCCCACCTGCTCCCTGGCCCACCTGCTCCCTGGCCCTGCCCCTCCCTCCAGGTCCAGTCCCTTCAGGCCCCGCCCCGCCCCTGCGGACCTCCCGCCCCGCCCTGGCCCATCGGCTCCCTGGCCCCGCCCTCCAGCCTCCGCCCCGCCCCACCTGCTCCCTGGTCCCGCCCCTCCAGGCCCCGCCCCGCTCTGGCCCCGCCCCGGCCCGGCCCACCGGCTCCCTGGCCCTGCCCCTCCAGCCCACGCTCCGCCCCACCTGCTCCCTGGCCCCGCCCCTCCTGGCCCCCGCCCTGGCCCACCTGCTCCCTGGCCCCGCCCCTCCTGGCCCCCGCCCTGGCCCACCTGCTCCCTGGCCCCGCCCTGGCCCACCTGCTCCCTGGACCCGCCCCGCCGGCTCCCTGGCCCCGCCCCGGCCCACCTGCTTCCCTGGCTCCGCCTCTCCAGGCCCCGCCCCCCGCTGACCTCCGCCCCGCCCCCAGGTCCACCCGGCGCCCAGCCCCAAGTGCCGCGCGCTGCTCTCGGACCGCGGCTCCGCGACGCTCATCGTGCTGGGCTTTCTCTCGCTGCCTCTGCTGCTGGTGCTCGCCTCGGCCGCCCGCGCCCGCTTGGCCCGGCGCCTCCGCCCGCTGCTGCCGCCCCCCACTTGGACTCCTGGACTCCGCCGCCACCCAGGGTCCAGCGACGGGGAACAGGAGGAACGCCATCCCGAAGGGGAGCGGCAGCTCTGCGCCTGGGTGTGACCCCGAGGCCCTCCAAAGGATCCGAGACCTCCATCTCCCCTCCGTGACCCCCCAAAAGTGGCCCCAGGCCGGCGGCCTAGCGGTCTGCGTCCGGGTCCGGCCAGGGAATCGCGTGCGCGCCTCGGCCTCGAGCGCAGTGCTCCGAGTGGTCGCGAGGTGGCACTGGACTCCCCCGGACCGCGGTCCGCCCTTCCCCACCCGCGGGCACCCCTGCTGGGAAGCCCTCAAGGAGGCGGATGGCTCTCAGAGAAGGGGCACGTGGCCAGGCTCAGAGAAAGGCGGCCTTTTGGGCTTCTGCTCCCTCAGTAAGGACAGCCCTGCGCGGCCCCATGTCTGGTCAGCCAGGGGGCCTCCAGCAGGTTTCAGAAGCGATGAGACTTCCACGCTCCACCAGAGCACGTGTTTCCGGAAGCCCAGCTTGGCCAGCAGCACCAGGACGTGTAAGGCTCAACCTGTGATCAGGTTAGGGCTCATCCTGAGACCAGGGTCAAGGCTCAGCCTGAGACCAGGAGTAGGACTTAGCCGTGCCCAGGATTAGAATTTAGATAGGCACCAGAGTAAGGACTCAGTGTGTTCCCTCTGGATACTTTTTCTTTTTTCTTTTATTTTTTATCCTCACCCGAGGATATTTTTCCATTTTTTGTACAGATAGAGTGGGAGAGAGAGAGAGGAAGGGAGAGAGAGAGAGAAACATCGACGTGAAGGGACACATCGAGTGGCTGCCACCCGCACGACCAACCAGGGCCGGGGACAAACTGCAACTGAAGTACGTGCCCTTAGCGGGAACCGAACCCCGGTCTCTCCGGACCGCAGGCCGACGCTCTAACCGCTGAGCCAAACTGGCCAGGGCTGGATAATTTTTTTTTTTAAATCCTCACCCGAGGACATTTCTGCATAGAGCGAGAGGGATAATTTTTTATTTTCTTACCTTTTTTTTTTTAATCCTCACCTGAGGACATTTTTCCATTTTTTGTTTCCATTTTTTGTTCAGATAGAGTGGGAGAGAGAGAGAGGAAGAGAAACATCAACATGAAAGGGACACATTGAGTGGCTGCCTCCCCCAAGGCCCTGGTTGGGTCAGGGCCAGGGACAAACTGCAACCGAGGCACATGCCCTTAGTGGGAACTGAACCCAGGTCTCTCTGGACCTCCCTGGACCTCAGGTCTACGCTCTGACCACTGAGCCAAACCAACCAGGGTCCCTCTGGATAATTTTAAGAACCATGTCTTCGCCCTGGCCGGTTTGGCTCAGCGGTTAGAGCGTCGGCCTGCGGTCCCGAGAGACTCGGGTTCGGTTCCTGCTAAGGGCATGTACCTCGGTTGCAGTTTGTCCCTGCCCCTGGTTGGGTCATGCACGTGGCAGCCACTCGATGTGTCCCTTTCACATGGATGTTGCTCTCTCTTCCTCTCTTTCCCTTCCACTCTGTCTGAACAAAAAAATGGAAAAATGTTCTCCGGTGAGGATGAAAAAAAAAAAAAAAAAGAATCGTTTGTTCTATGCTTTAAGCTTGTTTCCAGTTATGGATACGTTCTTTTTTTTTTTTTTTTTTTTTTATTCTCACCCGAGGACATTTTTGCATTTATCTTCAGATAGAGTGGGAGGGAGAGAGGGAGGAAGAGAGAGAGAGAGAGAGAGAGAGAGAGAGAGGAACATCAATATGAGTGAGACACATTTATTGGCTGCCACCCACACAGCCCCAACCAGGGCAGGGGACAAACTGCAGCTGAGATACATGCCCTTAGCCGGAACCAAACCCAGGCCTCTCTGGTCTTCAGGCCAATGCTCTAACCATTGAGCGAAACCGGCCAGGGCTGTTCTTTTTTATTTTTTATTTTTATTTTTAATCCTCACCTGAGGATAGTTTTCTATTGACTCTCAGAAAGTGTGGGAAGGGGTGGGGGGAGAAACATCGATGTGAGAAAGACACATTGTCTGGTTGCCTCCCTCATGAACCCAACAGGGCCGGGGATCAAACTGCAACCCAGGTACATGCCCTTGACCAGAATTGAACCCGAGACTACTTGGTCCTCTGGCCAATGGTCCAAATGCTGAGCCAGGGCACCTTTATGGGTATGTTGTTAATTATCCATTTGGTATACACAGTGTTTGAACAGTTCTGGAGTATTCTGAGCTAGTATTCCTTGAGTTCTGCCTCTCATTCATTGTACATGTCACTCTCCATTGACCTTTATGTCAATTAATCTCTTGTATTTTCCATCTTGTCTCTCTCTGCTGCCTTCTGGGCAGTTCCTTCAGCTCCCTCTTCCAGTTCATATTCACTCCCTGTGTCTAATCTGCCAATTAACTCATCCATTTAATTTTCTCTTTTTTTTTTTCTTTTTTTTTGTGGTACGTGACCCTAGCAGGAACCGAACCTGGGACTCTCTGGTCCGCAGGCTGACGCTCAACCGCTGAGCCAAACTGGCCAAGGCTCATCCATTTAATTTTAAATTACGATACCTAAAAGTTATACTTGCTTTCTTTTCTAATCTGATCTTTTAAAAAAATTTATCTTTTTGTTTGTTTGTTTGTTTTGTGGTACGTGCCCCTAGTGGGAACCGAACCCAGGACTCTCTGTGCCAAACCGGCCAGGGCTTTAAAAAACTTATCTTTGGCCCTGGCCAGTGTGGCTCAGCGGTACTGAGCGTCGGCCTGCGGTACAGAGAGACCCGGGTTCGGTTCCCGCGAAGGGCACGTACCTCGGTTGCAGTTTGTCCCTGGCCCTGGTTGGGCCGTGTGGGTGGCGGCCACTCAATGTGTCCCTTTCACGTCGATGTTTCTCTCTCTCTCTTCCTCTCTCCTTCCCACTGTAGCTGAACAACAACAAAAAAAATAAAATGGAAAAACATCCTCAGGTGAGGATAAACAAAAAAACAAAAAAAACCCCAAAAACAAAAAAACTTATCTTTGCCCTGGCCAGTTTGGCTTCGTGGTTAGAGCGTCAGCCTGCAGTCCAGAGAGATCCAGGTTTGGTTCCTGCTAAAGGTGCGTACCTCGTTTGCAGTTTGTCCCCGGCCCTGGATGGGTCGTGCGGGTGGCAACCACTTGATGTGTCCCTTTCACGTCGATGTTTCTCTCTTCCTCTTTCTCCCTTCCACTCTATCTGAACAAAAAATTGAAAAATATCCTCAAGTGAGGATAAAAAAAAAATTAAAAAATTATCTTTATCGATGAAAGCATTACAGATGTCCCCCCTTTTCAAAGCTGATCATTTTTTATGGTCTCTTGGCATGCTTGATTTTTGGATTCCAGCTTCAATTTCTTGAACAGTTCACAGTTATTTTATCTTCTGTACCTAACAATTCCAATGTGTTAGTCTTTGGGGGGAAGGGTCTAACTTTGTCATGTGTTGTTTCTCCTGATTCTTACTAATAGCATATTGTTTCTCTGAAAGTTTGTTAATTTTTCATCGTCAGCCCATACCTGTGAAAATTTTAGGGCTGCTTCCCTCAGGAGAGGATCCCCTTTGTGGGGCGCTGCCAGCCTGGGCCCAGGCAGGGTCCTGGTTTGGTGGCCCCTCTGCAGCGCGGCACTGGCTCCGCGATCGCTGAGTGGCTCTGGCCTTGCTTCTCCATCTGGTTCCCTGCGTCATCCTGGGTCTCTGCTCACGATCCCTCTGTTTGTCTATTTTCAGTGTTTAATTTTGAAGGGAGCTTGGAGATATTTACTTCCTTGTAAGCCCAGCAGTATATTAAAAATATGTGCTTGTAATCCGTCCAGAGCCTAGTGGCAGTTGAAAAGCCTTTTAAAGGATCTAGCCTACCATATTGCCAGCTGAACTCCACCTCTGACCAGCAGGATCAAGGCTCAGATGCGCCCAGAGATCAGGGATCATGGTTCAGGGGATGAGCAGAGTCAGGGCTCATTCCGTGGCCTTGAGAAGAGCCCGCCGTGGCTGGCTCAGGTCCAGCAGGAGTCCTTGGGGTTTTCCAATTGTCTCTGCCCAGCTCTGATGCTGTTCCCAGTCAGACAGGAGCCTGGCCAGCCGCCCAGCTGCCAAGGATAACTTCCCCTGGGCCAAGGTCCCCTTCCTTCCCCTCCTGCCCAGGGTTGGGCTGGCTCTGGCCAGGCGTCTAGGATGGAGACTCTCCTGAGGATAGGCCTGGCCCTGGAGTCACCAAACAACAGCTGGGCCTGGTGGGGGTGGGGAACTCAGCTGCCTGAGCCCGCAGGGTTCATTCCTAAGGTGTGTCCCAGTGTCACAGGCCAGCCCTGAGCCCCAGGGAAGTCCTACCTCAGCCCCAGCCTGCCCCATCCGTTCACCTGTGGGGGACTATGCGAGGTTCACAGAGGCCTAGGGGGTCTGCTTTTATTTATTTTTATTTTTTAAAATATATTTTTATTGATTTTTAGAGAGAGGGGAAGGGAGAAGGAGAAAGAGATAGAAACACCCGATCAGCCGCCTCCTGCACAATCCCTACTGAGAATCGAGCCCACAACCCGGGCATGTGCTCTGACTCGGAATCGAAAAGGTGACCTCTTGGTGCACGGGTCTCCGCTCAGCCACTGAGCCACACCAGCGGTGCAGGGTCTGCTTTTAGAGGGCCATCCGTCAGGAAAATTGGGATACTGCGTGCAGGGGTGGGGGGGGCTGGGGGGGGGTAAGGGCTGACCCATCATAGAGAACCAGAAACAGGCCCCAGGGCCTGGGGAAGACTGAGGAAGACCCTTTGTTCTTTTATGTGTCCAAGGTGCCCTTTCTTACCTGCCACCATTTGGACAGGCTCCTCGTAAGGGTGGGGCAGCCTGGGCTAAGTGGAGGCAAGGACCTGGCCCTCTAGACACAATGCTCCCCCTCCTCAAGATCTGTCATTCAGATGCATATCCCAGCCTTTCTGTCCCCCTGCCCCCACTTGAGCCCCAGAGATCTCTGCGTCTCAACCTTTGCCCAGCACAGTGGCCAAGACAGAAGCCCCTCTTTCAGGGCCCCAGCCCCGGAGGCCCAGCCTCCATCCTGAAGGTGCCTCTGCTCCCTCCCCCACGAAAGCCCCTTCAACCCC